TCAGGGAGCTGCGCGCGGTTATCTGCCCGGGGATGGGGCTTCGAGGGGCACCCGGGTGAGCCTCCACCTCAAAACGTGCCCGCTGCGCTGCGAGCTGTACCTGGAGCACAGCACCCGGTGTGGGCGCCCAAAGGCGCTCAGACCCACTGCCTACTGAAACCCAAGGTTTTGGAGAGAGCGTGGTGGGCACCTCCTGAAGTCCACCTGCAAGGAAGGCCGTCCAGCAGCAGCGGGAGAACAACACCCGCATTGTGGCTCCCCACGGCAGCAGCAGAGCCAACTTCAGAGCCAACTTCAAGCATGGGCAAAGAGATGCTCACAAGAGAAGGAAACTCAAAACGTCACCCATGGAGCAGTGGCATTACTGCGCGTTGGGCCAACATCATAAAAACGCGCTTTAAAGTGCACCAGGTGCATCACCTGCCTGTGACATGGGAGTGTGTGTGCCTGCAGGTCGTGGCACATGCTCCTGTGACTGAAGTGAAGCTTTTTCCTCTAACATCTCCCGGCCGAAGCACTGCACCCAGCAGCCTAGAAGGATGCTGGGCAATGTTCCATTCTTCACAATAGGTACCATATGCTGGTGTGAACCACAAATCTAAACCCATGTTAAAACTTCCATACTGAAATTTCACACCAAACCCTGACGAAGCCCTGATTACCCACACAAAGACTTCTCCAGACGACTAAACCATGATACTTTCAGTTGTTAGAATGACAGAAATCTTACGACTCTGACAGCCCGTGCTCAGACATCCTCTTCAGCAGGGCAGGATCTGACCCCACCCTCAGCTCCACGGCCACAGACTGGGCGCTGCACTCCAGCACCAGGGCAGGAGAGTTCCCCCCCCCTTTGGCGAGTTCTCGAGGCAAAGCAGCCATCCCCGGCCGTCTCCCCGCTCCCGCCAGCCCTTCGGCCGGGCTCACCCCGCTGCATCCCCTCCCTTGTCACCCAACGCCACTTTCCCTTTCTCTCTCCACCCGGAACACTCCCGTCCTGCCATCACGGGCCCCGCACCGCCCCGCAGCCCGGCCGCTCTCCCCGCACGGTCGCCGGTGCTCGAGCATTCGGTCCCGGGGACACGCGAGATCCGGGGTCCCCGCCCGCCCGGCCCGCAGCGTTACCTGCCGCATCAACGCCGCCGCGCAGCCTCCGCGCTCCAGCTCTCCCTGCGGCGGCCGCTCCGGCTCCCCCGGCCCCAGGCACCCCCAGGCCGCACCTCGCAGCTGCCAGATCGGGGGGAGGCCGGCGCGCCCCGCGATCCCCGCGGCCTCCAGCGGCCCTCCCGACGCTGCCGGCGGGAGCGGCAGCGCTTCCCGACCGGACAGCCGACCTCTCGTCCCCGGTTCCCCCGCAACCGCGGCGCCGCCGGCCGGAGCCGCGGCTCCCTGGCGCCCAGGCTCGGCCCTTACGCGGGCCGCGATGGGTCCGGGCCGCCGCGGCTCCGCTTCCTCGTCAGCCTGCGCCGGGCCGAGGAGGCGGGGCGCGGCGCGCGGGCCCCGCTAGGCGCGCCGCGGCACGCCCCTCCCGCGACCCCAAACAAACCGTCGCATTGGCTGACGGCACGCGGGAGCGAGGCGGGGGGCGGGGACTCAGGCTGGACTCCGACCAATGAAAGCGCGGCGCGGGGCGGGTGACGACAACTTTACGCACAGGAAGAGGTGGCAGCCGGTGTCCGTCTGGGGGCGGGACGATTCCCACGATCTGGCTGTCGATTGGCTGAAAGGTAACCAATTAAGAGCGCTATCGTTGGAGGCCTTGGGCATGCTCTCGAATATCATTGGCCGGCGAGGTGTTGCTTTGCGTGCGGCGGCGAGGACAGAGGGAGGGGTTGGGTTGAGTTGGGTTGATGAGGCACTGGCTGGTGCACTCTTCTTAGCAATTAACAGCTTTAATCAGCTCATTCTTTTTCCTTAGTGTTGAAAATGAAATGCATAAACTGACAGATGTGGAATCTGTAGGAAACGTTTATCACTTTCAGGGCTTCCATTTAATTCATGTGAAGTTCTCAGCATCTCCAGAATGAAGGAAGCATTACTCAGTGATGTACAAAATTAAGAGGGGTTTAATTTCATTTGCTGTGTTGGCCTGCTTTCCAGTGACTGCAAGCATATAAGCGGTGATTTCTTGTTAATGGCTAGCTAAAACAATTTCCAAATCATAGCACAAGTACCGTGCAGATTTTTCCCCCAGCAGCTGTTGGTAAATGATGCGTGGAAAGGATACCCTCTTAGAAAAATTTCCTGGGTTTCCTTGTAGGAAAAGCTGTTTTATTCCTGTTCATTCAAGGAAAATTGTCACAAGCAGGTGATCGTCCCACTGCATTCAGCTCTGGGGAGGCCGCAGTGCTGTGCTCAGCTCTGGGCTCCTCACTGCAAGACAAGACAGCAAGGCCCTGCAGCGTGTCCAGAGAGGGGCATGGAGCTGTGAGGGTTCTGGAGCACGAGGCTGAGGAAATGGGATGGTTCCATCTGGAGAAAAGGGGCTCAGGGGACCTTATTGCCCTCAATAACTCCCTGGAAGGAGGCTGTGGGGAGGCAGGGGTCAGCCTCTGTTCCCAGGTAATAGCGATAGGATGAGAGGTAATGGCTTTGAGTTGTGCCAGGGGAGGTTCAGGTTGGATATTAGGAAAAATTTCTTCTCAGTAAGAGGTGAGGTAATGGCACTGCCACCCAGGTGGTGGTGTCACCGTCCCTGGAGGTGTGCAAGAGGTGTGGAGATGTGGCACTGAGGGGTGTTGTCAATGGGCGCAGTGTGATGGGCTGGTGGTTGGACTTGGTGATCTTAGAGGGCTTTTCCAATTGTACTGATTCTATGATTCTAAGCTATAGTGCAGAAATCTGCGGCTTAACAATCTGACCTTCAGAATGGCAGGTGAACTGTGGCAGTTCAGGCCCCCCTGGTGTTGCAAGTAACCATCTTATGATGTTAAATTCAAGCATGCCTTCACCTTTATCATCTTCTATAAATACGCTCTAAAGCACAGCTATGAGTAACAAGTTTATTGTTAGAAATTTGTAAACGCAGAAGAGCCAGCTTTTGTCACAACTGCAGAGGTTTGTGTTTTAATCCACTCCTTAATTAGTTTGTAGAGAGTATTTTTTTTAGTCTTATTATAATGTAGCGTGAGATCATATGGCTTGTATCAAGTATTTTTGCCACTTGGTTTAACCACAAGCAAATTTAACCACGTCAGGAAATGAGGCTTTCTGCATCTATAGTGCCATGTATTTAAATGATGCTCTGCAAAAACACACAAAGACATGTTCAGTTCCCCAAAGTCTCAGAGCTGGAGGTTCCCATGTGTGTAAATAACTTTGTATGCTTGCATGTAGCCCCATTGCCTCAAGTAGACTGGTAAGGTGTAAAATAGTAATGTGCGTAAATGTCCATGAAAGAAAGACTGAATAAAAAGGTGCTGGACAAGAGCTGAGAGGCAGGGTGAGGCTGAGATGTTGAAAAGCACTTGAACCGTTCATTTGTTTGGTAGGGAGGCCGTGCTTGTGCAAACCTGTGCAGATACAACATGCAAATAATCTTTCAGTGTTTGTTGCCATGGTTTTCTAGACTGAGCAAGCACACAAACAGATTTGTTACTCTTCCAGTGTATTTTGAAATGAATGTAGATTGCATGCACTGTGTACTCGATGTTTTATTATCTGTGGTGGTCTTAATTTTGTTTTATGTTGTGGTCTTAAGTTTGCACTTTGTGCTAATTACAGTGTGAAGCTTATTTCTCAGAGTTCTTAGCCATCACCAAAGTAGGTGTCATCCTTTTAGCTTAGCTATTAATTTTAATAATGCATCCGTTCTTAAAAGACTCTTGATTGAATAATCTGGCAAATGATGATGGATGATTTCAGTGTTTGTACAGCAGTTCTTCCCCATTCAGGTAAGAGGATTTAAACCAAAGGTCAGACGTCTGTTGTTAATCCTTCATGTCTTACTAAGCAGGAATTGCCTAATCACACAGCTTTATTTTCCTCAGCAGCTGAGGTCAAGCCCTTAGAGGAAGGGATGAAATACACTGCATGTGACCGTGCTGCTGAGCCTCTTCTTTGCAGGTCCTTGGGACCTCAGAGCTGCTAACAGGGCATCTTTCTTGAAGGCAGTGATCAAAGCACCCTAGGATGATGGTCTGCTTATGTCTCCAATAGGATATGAGCATCTTCCAGCAGGGCTTCTCTGCTGAATATTACTAGGAAACGCCAATTTCCATCTAAATCTGCACAACTGGAGATATATAATTTAGATATTGGCCGGACTTGCATTAGTAATGGAATCGGGTAAATGTGAAAGCTGTGAAATGGTCACTCGAGCAAAGATGGTCCACGTTTTTTAGATAATTCTTACTCCTGTTAAGGCGTGGAAGACGCTCACGCGCGTTCCCATGCAGTGCTACCTCCCACCAGTGCTGCCTTCTGACAGCACTGACGTTTTTCTGTCCGAAATGTCCCAATAACCGATGTACGCCTCGCTGAGAACGAGAGCTACGAAGCTCTCCGTGGCGCTTCCAGCGGGCCGGACCGGCTCCTCTCGGCTCCTCTCGGCCCCTGCCGGCTGCCCTGCGTCGGCCGCTTCCGTCGCTCTTCGGTTTCGCTTCGGAAGTTTCCGCTCAGGGCCCCGCCCCGTTGTCAGGGGTAACGCGGAGCATCGGAGCCAGCGCGGTCTTCGGGTGGCGCGGCCGCTGCAGGCAGAGCGGGCTGCGGGTACGGCCTGCGCGGGACGGGGCGCCGGAACGCGGTGGGGCGGGGAGGCGACTTCAGCCGGGAGCTGGGCTGCGGGCGTAGCGGGGCCGAGCAGCGGCGGCCGGGCCTCGTCCCGACGGAACCGCCCCGGAGCCGTGCAGGGCAGCGCTTTTCATCCAGCTGTGCGTTGCAGTGAAATTGTACCTCGTTAGGTTGGTAGGTGCGGCCAGGCACAGCTCCGGACAGCTGCCGACCTGCTCCAGCCGGTATCCGGATGGCTGTATTAGGTTCGTAGTGCTGGGTGCGCTGCACTGAGCTCCGTGAGGATTCCCCGAGGGCCGGACTGCAGAGCCGTGCCAGCACTGGTGTCCGGAGTGGGGCTGTTTCTCTGGCCAGGTAGGAACAGGAGCAGAGGTTGAGCTTCAATCTCCCTCTGCTTTCCTCTGTTAGCTTTCTATGCATTGTTTCAAAAGTGTCTATCTATATCCTTCATGATCCGTGTGAGGGAGGGGATTGTCCCCTCTGCTCTGCCCGCGGAGCCCCCAGCTGCAGTGCTGCGTCCAGGCCTGGGGCCCAGCACAGGAAGGGTGGGAGGCAATGAAGATGCTCGGAGGTTGGAGCAGCTCTGCTATGCAGACAGGCTGAGGGAATTGGGCTTGTTTAACTTGGAGAAGAGACTTCATTGTGGACTTTCAATACTTAAAGGGAGCTTATAAACAGGAGGTCTTTAAGTCACTTCCAACCTAAGCTGCTCTATGATTAAAGAGATCATATAGCTGGGCTTGATCACTTTCCATACCTGAACTTTGTGAGAAATTCTTTTTTCAACCTTGGAAAAAAGTAGGACGTGCCATGCCAGGAGCACTTATGGAAGACAGTCCTCGTTTTTCACTTTCTTCTTTGAACAGTTAAGATAGGTAACGAATTTTTAAGATTATGCAGATATAATGTTGGTTTGGTTCCTGTGTGTAGTTCACGTTGCTGACAATGTCAGTGGCAAGGTACAGAACCACCAGGCTATTTAAAAACATTGCCTATCTTTCTAACACATCTGATCAAAGGTGCTGAATTTGATTTTTCTATTTTGGGGGGGAGAAGACAACCCTCTCAAAGAAAAATCTTCATTTTAAGCAGTGATGGAATATTTAAACTAAAGAGACTTTCTGTGTCTGATTGGTGACCTGGGAAGATCTTCTTACCTACATGTGCCTACAGGTCAGCAACTCGTGGCTGAGGTGATCATAAAAGATCTTCGTCCCCACAGGTGTCAAGGAACTGTTTAAACCTTCGATGGGTTATTTTAATTTTTTATTTCTCAGGTCTTGGCATTTTAGCTAATAACTGAGGTGCTTAAAAGGTGGTTGTCTCTGGCTGTTTGTTCTAAACCAAGCCAATGAGATTGTACAACACAAATCCCCCAACCAGTTTTCATATGTAAACTTTCAAAGACCGAATTACCCACTCCATTTCTGAGAAGAACACCATTTCAGGTTTATTTTCCTTGGAAAAGGATCACTTATTGAGGGCTTTCATTCAGATGTTAAGATAAGTTGCTTTGGTTTTGCATGACCGGACTGTTGGTCCGGTGATTTCAGCAGTGTAAGCTCCAAAATGGTGACAACTTCTAAAGCTCACTTTGAAAGAAAGCTCAGATGTGAGGCTTTACAGCCGGAGGTCACTCTGCACATCGTTCTCTTCAGACATGAAGTGCTCGAAATACTCTTGAAAGAACTCTGAGCTTACCAGAATGTTCTCTGAAATAAATCAGCGTAAGCCACTGGGAGACCAGGTGCTGCTCTGTGCACACCGTGCTGTATGGGCTAAAGGCTCCGTACTGCCCACTGCTCTTCAAAAATACCACTTGGCCCTTTTTCATTAAGGTGGACGCGCATTAAGATGGTGATGTGGTAGCTTTGTTTTTTTCCCCGTTTTTCGCATACTTGCCTGTTAAACACCTGTTTTCCTCATGCAAACTTGCAGTCAGTGACTTCTGCCATGGCTGTGTATGTGGATCACCGGACGGAGGCTCCGGATTCAGTGGCCTCCCCTTCTCTTATAACGTGGCACTCTGTCCAACCTCTCCTGGCAGTCGCTTCCATCAGCACAGCGGCAGGAGGCTGTGTGGATATCTACCTGGAGCAGGTGAGCAATCAGCAGCTTTGCTGCTCTGAAACTTCACTTTGGCATTACGTATGCCTGCAATTCCAAGTTTTACTGGTGATGCTTACCAGTTTGCAGGTTAGGCTTAACAATAGAATGGCCACGTGTTTTTTTTTTCTCTTTTTAAACTTTAAGGGAATCAAGTGTACTCAATAATGGGAATTAGGAAAAAAATCATTCTTCCCCTTGAGCCTGCCTTGGTTTGCTAGACCCAGCTCATGGCATCTGAGAGGGCTGTAGACAGCTATTTGCTGTGCTGCTCTCGTAAGCTATGCACGAGGGGCTCGTGTAGCACTTCAGTTTGCACCATTTCCAGGGGAAAATAAGAATCTGTGCAATTTAGGGAAATGGTGCAGCAGATGCACTGAAAACATTGACATTTGTTAATATGAGTATTCTATAAAATGCATAACTTTCAGAGTGTGTTATGAAAAACTGTCATCCACATTTGATAAATAGGAAAATAAATACATGGAGGTGTTAAACAATTTGCCTGAAATAATGCAGCAAACCATGCTCAGAGGAGAGCCTACCTTTTGGAGCTATTTAAGCCTTAGTTTATTGTATTATTGGTGAAGAGCTTTATTGTTTTTCTTCTTTTTTTAAACTGAAATGTGGTGGGGGCCATCATACCGTTCTTGTAGGAATCTCCTGTTTAGTGAGAGCTCTTTGTGCATGCTGTGAGGGAGGAATAGCCTTGCAAAGCAGAGGGAAGCTGTCACTTAACACCACTGTGTTTTCAGCAGCTATTTTCAAGTGGCTGTGCTGCATATCGTAGCACACCCATGCATGTGAAATAGACAGAAATACGTGGTGTAGCCACTTCTTGTGTCTTACCAGATGTTCTGATGCAAGTCAGTTCTTTTAGACAAGAAAATATCTTGTTGGCCGGGGAGTAAATCTGAAGGTTTAGCTGCATTCTTGTGTTGATCGTGCCCTTTGTTTCTGTTTGCAGGGAGAACACGTGCCTGACACACACGTGGAGAGAAGCTCTCAGGTCACATCGCTCTCCTGGCACCCTTCCAGGCCGATCTTGGCAGCTGGCTGGGAGACTGGAGAAGTCGTCATACTTAACAAACAAGACAAGGAGCTCCACACCGTGCCGCCAAACCACAGCGCCAAAATCTCTATCCTACAGTGGAGCAGCAATGGCTCCCGCCTCGTGTCTGGGGACAGGGTAAGCACTCAGCTGTCAAACCTTCATCTGGAATACAGTGCGTGCCTTGTGATGGAAAGGATCACGGAGTGAACTGCAAAGGAAGGGAATAGGTGCAGGAGCAGGGGAGAGATACATTTCCTTGCTTTAGGTACAAATTAAAATGGTTAGGGAGTGAAAACAAATGTAATTGTGTTAACTTTTCCACAGTTTTTTCAATTTGTCTTTAAATGAGCATCTCTAGCCTCGCTGAGGGTGGTGAGGCACTGGCACAGGTTGCCCAAGGAGGCTGTGGATGCCTCTGCAGGCATTCAAGGCCAGGCTGGATGTGGCTCTGGGCAGCCTGGGCTGCTGGTTGGTGAGCTGCACACAGCAGGGGGTTGGAACTGGATGAGCATTGTGGGCCTTTTCAACTCAGGCCATTCTGTGATTAGAACAGTAGGTCAGGATTTCAGGTTGTTTGATGCACGGAATGTTTGAGCTGTGGGTGATCTCAGTTGCTTGTCCCTGTGTATGCAGGAAGTTTGCATTTCAACAGTACGCTAATATGAATTGTACTTACTGTATGGAAAATACTTTGGAAATGGTTGAAATATCAGTCTATTGGTAAGCTTGTTACCCTTTATGTAGTGAAATGAGATGCTAATAATAAAATATCTACTATTCAGGACTAAGCATTCACAGAAGATTCCGATTTGTCAGCTCTTGAGTGAGCAAATGGTGACAATGTGCTTTTTTACATTCTTTCTGATAAATCTGAGCATGCCCAAGAATTTTGCTTCAGTTCTCAAGACTTTTTCCTATGATTTGGAGGGAAATGTAATTTTACATCATCCTTGTTAAAATTCTTTTGCCCTTTCTGCATTTGACAGAAATGCAGAAATTAAACATTGAGTCGTGATTGCATTTATCCTCTTAATTAGAAAAGATGTTGCCTGAAGGAAGGATGACAACAGTAACTGGGAGTTCATGTGGAGAATATGTTAATGTAACTGCTGTTCACATTCATGTGGCAGTTGGGAACAGACTTTTTCAAATTGGTTTTTGGTGTTGGATCACAATAAGTCTCCTTAAAACAGGTGTAGGGTCAGTAATACCACTGCTTTTGTTGCCTGCATTAACGAAGCAAAAGGAGGTTGAACTTTGCATCGCAAGTTGTTTTGTTCATGCAGTGCTTATACAGAGGACATCCAAATGCCATTTGTTTCCCTAAGCATGAACATAATAACAAAAATAAATAATAAAGTTCCAGCTGTGAAGCTGCAGCGTAGGTCAGCTCGTTGGGACAGTTCAGGCACATGACATGCTGAAGGCTTTTTGCATCTCTGCCTTCTTCATCCATATTTTCTAGTCACTGGGGCTCTATGCATTCTGAGCTGGCACTGCCAAATGCTTATTACCTCCAAAACCTGCACCAGGCTCTAAGATTTGCACAGTGGTTGCACTTTGGTGTGTGCTTGTGTTCCTCCTTGCAGCAGAAGGCACAAACTGAGATTGTTTGTGTGATGGTTCTCACCTACACTGCAAATACGTGTTATAGAAAGTATGTGTTTGAACAGAAAAAAGACAGTGAATATATATTCCTAGGTTTTACATTCAGTTGATAACCAGATTAAATCTTAAGAGTGCAATCTGTCGTAATGAAATTCATTTGAAATTCTGAGATTTGTTTGTAGGATTGAAGTTCTGTTTGGAATGAAGTAAGCAGGTGAAAGTTAGACAAATGTTAAGGGAGGGGCAGACAGCAAGGCTATGAAGTTCTTTCATTGGGAAATTGTAGAAATTTTGTCACTCAAAATTCTTTTAAAATCAGACTGAAAGAAATGGGGTGCAATTATTTTCCAGCATCAACTTCCATTGACTACTGTTGCATTAATTAGCTAACTAGCCTTGCTTTCTTTAACTTGTGATTCTTCTAGAGACTGGATTCTCACATATGTGCAACGTGTGATGAATTAACCGCGGTCTTTTTTTTCTTTTTAGCATGGTATCTTGTTTCTATGGAGAATGGACCAGCGAGGTCGAGTGCAAGGTCCTCCCGTGCTGAAACACGACTATGGAAAATGTCTGTCGCACTGCATCTTCCGACCGCCCCCTCCTGGCGAGTAAGTGCTGTGTCCTGCCGCAGCGCAGGTGGACCAGCTCTGTTCACAGACCATTTCTATTTAACATCTTTATTGATGATCTTGACGAGGACATTTTGGCTTGGATCAGGAATGGAGTGGTGAGCAGGACCAGGGCAGTCATCCTGCCCTGTACTCAGCACTGGTGAGGCCTCACCTTGAGTGCTGTGTTCAGTTTTGGGCACCTCAGTACAGAAAGGACACGGAGGTGCTGGAGCAGGTCCAAAGAAGGGCAACAAGGCTGTGAAGAGAATATGTTGGGGAATTGCCTATGAGGAGAGATTGAAGGAACTGGGGCTGTTCAGTCTGGGGAAAAGGAAGCTGAGGGGAGGCCTTGCTGCTCTCTTCCAATACCTGAAATATGATTACAGAGAGAGTGGGGCTGGTCTCTCCTCACTGGTGACAGGACAAGGAGAAACGGCCTTAAGTTTCACCAGGGGAGGTTTAGGTTGGATATCAGGAAATGCTTCTTTACAGTAACAGTTGTTAGGCACTGGAATAGGCTCCCCCAGGGAGGTGGTTGAGTCACCATCCCTGGATGTGTTTAAAAACCATTTGGATGTGGTGCTCAGGGATGTGATGTAGGTGTAGGCTGTAAGAATTAGGGTACTATGGTTGGGTTGTGGTTGGACTTGATGATCTTTAAGGTCTTTTCCAACCTGAGCAATTCTATGATTCTATGATTTAATAAATAATAATAATACAAAACTGTCCTTGTAGTTGTCCTCTGGTTCCAAGCTTTTCTTCCTCTCTATTTGCAGCAGAGGCTGTTTGTGTTCTGCACTCAGTGACAAGTCTTTCGTTTTGTCAACACCCCTCTCGCTGTTGCTGTTCATTCTTCTTTCTTTAGTTCTTCATAATCAGTGACATTTGCCAATTAGAAAAGCACAAAGCACACTGGAAACAGTTATTCATGAAATTATTGGCAAGAATAACTGAATTCTTAAATCTGTCTTTTCTCTTCAAGAAAGAAGTAGTAATAAGGTATAATATTAAGGAAAAAAAAAAGCAAACGGATTTTTCTTTGTCCGGGACATTGTTTCACATCTCTCTAAAAATAATAATGCTTAAAGGGGGAAAAAAGGGTGAAGCAATACAAGTGAAAACTGGTACTAAATGAGCTTTATATCTTTCGGGAGTTAGTTGATTTCCAACCAGTGCATGAAACATCTTTCTTCTCTCTTTACAGTTCTATGAAATATTCCTTTCTTTAGGATGGAATGTATTCTGTTATGTAGGGAATTGGAAATGAAGTATCTTTTGTTTGCAGAGACTTCCTACAGCTGGCAAAAGCTGCTGTGAGTGGTGATGAGAAAGCCTTGGATATGTTTAACTGGAGAAAAGCTGGAACAGAAGCACCTTTGAAAATAGGACTCCAGGAAGGACTGTCCTTCTTTGTCACCTTGACTGATGGTAAGAGCAAGAACACTTTTTTCAGTTGCTGTGAACTTGCCTGTTAGTGGTTCAAAACAGTTTAATGACTTAGATTTCTGCTACATTCCACCCCTTCCCAGCTTGAACCAATGATTGAGCAGGTTACAGGTAAGCCTTTTCCCATTACAGTGATCCAGTACACCATGATGCTTCATACAATTTGCCTGTCACGGTGTAGGTTGACAAAATGAGATGATTGATGATTGGTTCATGGTTGAAATTCATGTTCCTCTGTGGGCCAGTACTCGATGGTTTCCTGGAGGCACATAGCTGCTTGGACCAGGGAAGGTTTGGCTTGCATTTCATCAGTTCCATACAGTCCACCCCCAGGTGTCATGCTGATCTTTCAGTGACATTGGATGTCATGTTGCCACTCCCGGTGATCAGAAGAGACTCGGGGGACAGCACAGATGTTTCAGAAGTACCAGAAGGTGTAGGCCTGCCCTCCACAGCAGGATACATGCCATGTTCCTGTCCTGGGTCAGTACTAAAGCTTGCACTAGGGCATGTCCTGGCCGGATGTACCATATCCATTGGCTCAATATCAAGGCTCTGTAACTATATTGGGTACCAAAGGGGGAGTCCAGATTTGTCACAGGACCATGATTAAAGTCCCCTTAGCAATGAAAATCAGAGTGCTGACCACGATGCCTGCAGGCCATGTGCCTATTACTGGGGGGACTACAGATCCTCCAACCTCCAATAATCTCCCCCAAAGTGCAAGTAGGCCACACAACTTTGGTCAAATTTGCAACCTCCAAGGTCATTCTTTTTTATGGGTACAGGGTTCTAGGTTTTCAGGGGCAGTGAGCAGATTATTGTCTTTGCAATTTGGGGTCTTACCCGACTATCTGTGCCTGCAATTTGGATCCTAAGTGGGGAGGCCCGTGTTGTCTGTAGCATCTTTAGGGCACAGGGTTTGCTGTCTCTAGGCCTTTTGTTCAGGTCCCACAGGGTTTTGTAGAATCTCTTTGTCCACCCCAGCAGGGACTGAGAGTCTATCCCATTGGATTATATGGCAGGTGGAATTGCCACTCAGTGTTGTTTTCTTCTGCCCAGAGTTGTACCACCAGTAAAATGAGTTCCTCAGTCACTCTCAATGACTTGAGGTGTCCTGTAGGCAGCCATCAGTTTGGTGAACGCTCTGAAAGTATTATGCCTGGTTCACTGTTGGCAGTATATAGGCCTGCATTAGCCCACTGGATGTGTTGATTCAGGTCAGGGCATATCTTGCCCCCTCAGATCGAGGGAGGGGCTTGATGTAGTCGACCTGCCATTGCTGGAGAGGATTGTTTCCTCTTGTAAGATGGGCTAATGTTTAGGGCAACAGTCTTTGTCTCATACTGGAGCAAGCATCGCAGTCTCAGCATGCCTTGGCGTTGTCAGATAGCTGTATGGGCAGCCCCCATGCTTTAGCAGCTGCCCACTTTTATCCTGCATGCTGCAGCTTCTGGCATAACCAATGGGCGATGTTCTCAGATGGTGAATCCTCAATCCATCCAATTCGGGCCATCGTGTTGGCTTCACCATTTCCTGGTGACTGTAGAGGTTGGTGGCCAGAAATGTGGTAGACATGTACAGTCCTGTGTCTAACCACATTCTGTATGTCCAACCACAAATCTCTGCCCCAGATTGGTTGGGTGTGGGTAGTCCATTCCTGGATGGCCCACTGTGCAATCCAAAGGGTGAGCCCACAGTATACAGCCCAACTGCCTGTGCAGATATTCAGTATATCATCACGGGGTTCCTTGGTTATAACCATCCACACAGCTCACAGCTCTGCCCATTGGCTACTCTGACTGTCCCCCTCTTCAAACCAGATTATTTTAGTGGAGGGATGGTATGCCACTGCTCTCCACTTGCTCGGGTTACCCTTGCTGGACCCGTCTGTACACCAGGCATCTTCAGGAATGGGATATTTCCCTTCTTGAACGGGACTCTTCTCTGGTAGAGAGATCACTGTGGTGATGAAGGCAGACTATTCCTGTGCCCAAGATAGGCAACCCTTCTGCCATTGTCTGTACTTGGGCTACTCCTGTCTTAGGAAGGTGGGTCAGATCTTTCACCCAGCCCTGAATTATGGTCTTAACTATGACTTCAGTTGTTTGGGTTATTAGCCCTACTGCTTGTAATACGGAATAGGCAGCCAATAATGTTTCTCAGTCATGCTGTACCTCACTTCTGCTCCATGCCAAACCTGAGACCAGAACCCAACTGCAGTTCAAAGAGAATTTTGGAACTGCCATAGGCCCCAGCCAAACCCATCCTGAGTTCCATGGACGTCTAGTTTGGCTGGAAGGGTAGGAATGAATATATCCAGTGCCTGGGCCTGTCCTGACAACAGGTTGGTGAATGCACACACGTTTGTGGCAGGCCCTGAAAGGTCTGCTGCCTGCCTCCCCATGTAAATGCAACCCGACCTTGGGATTCTTCATGGATGGCAATAGTGAAGAATGCATTTGCCAAGTCTAGGACACAGTGGTAGGTTTTTATGTCCCTACTCCATCCCTGTGTCCATCAGAGAGGCAATATTGGGTACGGCTGCATGAACAAGAAACGTAACCTTATTTAATGCTCTGTAACCCACTGTCATTCTCCATGTGCAGCCTGACTTCCCTACTGGCCATATGGGGGAATTACACGGGCTATGTGCAGGTCTTACAATCCCAGCATTTTCTAGCTCCTGCAGCATTCTAGATATTTCTCCTTGCCCCTCCAGGAGTCTATACTGTTTAGTATTAGTAATCTGGCATGTATTTGGCAAGTGAACAGGCTTAAGTTTTGTATGGCCTCTTAATATCACCTGCCCCACCTGGGTGCTAATACATCCCTTTCTCAGCCTGAACGGTCATCTGGAGAGTCAGACCCCATGGGATGTCTATGCCCAATATGTACTCTGGGACTGGGGCAACAGACACCTTATACTCCTGGGGTGGGAGACACCCAACCCCCAACCTCTATGTTGGGTTGCAGGGATGGTCTGGCCCCCAGACCCACCAATCATCACCTCATCTCCATGGAATTTGCTTGGATCACCAGAAATAACTGACATTTCTGCATCCATGTCAACTAGTGCCATAACTTGCTGTATATTCTTTCAGGACCAAAAAAGTCATCAATTCAACAGAGGGCCTCTGGTCCCATCTGGGCGCCCTAAGTGCAGGGGAGCTGGCATCCCGTATCATGCAAGTAACTGTGTAGTTGCCAATTCTTATTCTTCAGGCAGCTCGGGCATAGTGGCCTGGGTCACCTGAGGAAGTTTTTCCTTTTATTGGGAGCTAGGAAATCTTCCAGGTTCCATCTTCTTGTTGGTATTTTTTCAGTAATTCTCACCCCGGGTTTTTTGGGGTGATTTTGAAGTTTTTGATTGTCCTCTAAGCGTCTCCATAGCTGGAGGAGGACACGATAGGGCTTGTGATCAATTTCAGCAAATTGCACCCCAGCCTGGATTGAGTCATTAAACATCTGCTTTCGGGATACCCTTATGGGTCCCTATTGAGTCTGTGGGGTGGGTTTCCTGGTTTTAGTTGCATAGTGGACCTTGGCCCCTTCTAACATTTGGATATTTCACCTGTTCTGAAAGCACTCTGTCTCCTCTAGATCAGCCACCCATTGGACAGCTTGTTGGATGATGGCCTCTAAGGCCACTAAAGGGCTCAGTACGGACATCAGTGTGCCATATGGGTTGGGAGGGGCTGGTTGTAGTATGAGGTCCCTCATCCCTGCTGAGAATTTAACCAGGTCAGGACTCTCAAATGTGTTATTATGAATGACCTCCTTCATCCCTTGTTCTCTCATATAGTTTTGGAGTTCTTCCTCTGAGGTCCATAAACCAGCATGTAGCAGTACATACCTTTCTTCGGCCACATAATTCTACGTGCTGCCATTATCCACTGAATCAAGGAATGGTTTTGTTCATTATGTATTCCTTTGCATACAGCCTGAGAGCTGGATGCGTGGTAACAGATGCAAGTTTGGAAATCTCAGGCCCATTATTTACCACATTTTCAGCCCCCATGCCCTATGATCTCAAAGGCCAAGCTGGGATGCTCTCTAGGGGTCTTTGCTTAAATTTTTGCAACAAATCCATAAGCTCAGCAGCTGCATATGGACACACTGTTACTTGTGGTGTGGGCAGGGGGCAACTCTCCAGGTGCCCACCCTGCTGGTCTGTCCTGGAGTTTCTTTGTCTTTTGAGTTATTACTGAGCATATTTCTAGAGGATCTGAGGTTCCCAGATCTTCTAGTTGGATTTTAGTCTGCTTGGCTTTCTTTTTGTTCTTGGGTTCAACTAGGATCCAAGGATCCTGCTGATCCAAGTCTTTTTCTCCTTCTAATGACATGGGTCTTAATTTCAAAGAGGAAATTCTATTTAAAGATGGGGCAGTTTGCCCCGTCAAAGGTGTAATTTTCTTTCCCAGTTGTCTAATATGGGCTTTTAAAAGCTTTTTCTCATCTTGTAATTCCTCCTCCAAGGAATGATATGCATTAATAGTGAGAAGCAGCTGCCATGCCACAGCAGATACTGCTGCAACTCTTTCCTCAGTTATCAAAAGATTTTGTCCTCACTCTTTCAGGAAGTCAGCCATTTTTGAAGGGGATTTAATAATGGCAGCACTGGCCCTTATAGGTCCCCACTGTTCAATAATCTGTGCAGAAATTAGCCATGGGGAACCCAGGAATCTCCGAGTTTTCCCTGGGAGTTCCTTTTTCAGTGTATTAGTAGTCCCAGTGAACATCCAATGCACCATTTTTTTATTTTTTTTTAGATAATCCATCCTAAATAAGTGTCTGACTGGCTCACCAAGTGTAATGCTGTAACATGAAGGAAAGTACAGCAGTAATAGGGAGTGGCACAATCCTAAGCTACAGCAAATGAGAACAAGCCCAAATGCAGCAGTTGCAGACACGAAGGAAGAAAAACTGCTTACCTTTGTAAGGCCTCTGGTAAGCAGGGATCTCCAATGAGATACCTTTGCCTTCATTGCCAGCCCTTAAATGAGGGCTGGGAAGGGACGGGTCTTGGCTTAACCCCTTCTGGTCAGTCAAATGTATTGCATGCACCTGAGCTCCCCTGGATTGGCTCTGCCTTCCCACCAGGTACTGAATCACTGGTTCAGGAGTGTGTTAGCATTTCTGCTACAATTACCAACTAACTTTCTTCCTCCTCATGATGCCTTTTGTCTCCTGCTTACCTCTTGGATCTAGAGCTAGAGTGTGAGGCAATCACTGTAATGAATACATAATCCTTTCCATTCAAGTGCTGACAACTCCGAAAACTGTTGAAGTTATGCTGGCTCTACAGCTCAATTACAGCATGATTCAGTGTTTACGTTCATTATGGTAGTGGAATTAGACTCCATAATGAACACCAGCACGCTCACTGCCTTACAGTTGCGTCGTTGCCTAGCGGTACGCTGACCTTGCTCAGCAGCAGGCTCTGCCTTCATTGCATTTGGGAGGTGTAAGCTTCTTTCCTAAACATGAACCGTTCAGATTTAAAAGGGTTACAGGACACGTTTTGTTTTGTTTTTAATGCAAAGGTGGTGGATGAAAATCTCTGGCTCGCTGTGTGCCTGCTAGCAGCTGATTTGGTACACAGCCCCATCTAGAGACAGACTCGGAGTCCTGCAAGTGGGTGTACTCAAAATTCTCTTTGTTTCCAGGCCTCCTGTTTAAACTTTAATTTTCTACCGTATGGCACTGGTGGTTTCTTTTCTGAGCTTTCTCATTGCACGGGTTGATGTCATTTGGACTCGGCTCTTATTCTACAGGGTGGTCTGTCAGAATGAGTGAACATTTTCATAGCGTGTAAATGTGAACTGCAGTTGTGATTTTTCATCACAAACTTGTTCTAATGAAAACAAATTAAATTATTGCTTTAACGTTTTTAATGCTTTAAACATTGTGAGTGCAATTGTAAAAAGTCTCAGAATTGACTTGACTAAAGCCAGGAGAGCAGCATCATTTAAAGCTAAACTGGAATGAACAGTGGAGCTCCTCAAAAGATGGTAAACCTCTGTTTTAAGTACGAGCCTAGATCCATTGCTGCACTCAAAATGCTGATCAATGTAGTTGAAAAAAAATAATTCAGACAATATGTGACACAAGATACTGATCTAAAGAAAGGATGCCTGATTGTTAGCAGTTCTAAAATGTTGCTTTGTAATACTCTCACGACCACAAAAAATCTTCAGTGCAAAGCATTTGAGATGACTGGCACAGGCATTGGGGATAACGTGGGTCTGTAAGGCATCCTGAGCTTCCTGCTGGTGGACTTTTGTTTGTAGCTGCAGGGATCTGTTCCCTCGTCTTGCACATGTGCTGTGAAGAATGCTGTCTGTGAACCAATTCCAGGTTCTGTAGATGATGGGCTGTTACAAAGGATGGCTGCAATAAGCCTTTCTCTGTGCGATAAGGACTGCGTTGGAGAACTGTTTGAACAAGAGAAACTTCAGTGTTTATTTTAGGTAGAAAATTCAGCAGTATGATCACAGGTGGGACAGGAGTTTGGAACTTTTTAAATGTAGGTAATGGAGATGATGTGTAGAGAGCCATAAATGGAAAGATTCTTTTAAAGCTACATCATGTTACCCTTTAGGTACAACATTTCAGCACAGATCCTCGGTGATCAGACTTATGCCTTTGTTTTCTACTTCAGCTTCTTTTGGACATGTTTCATTTCACAGGGCAAATTAAACTTGCAGCAAATTGAAATACCACATTTATATATTTGTTAGGAAGTGGTATATCTATAACATTGGCATCTGTCAGGTTGCAGCAGGTGGTTTCAGTAATCCCATTTGCAAACTGCTAGGTGCTATAGGGTTTTTCATTGCTTAGCTCTGCCTAGGACTTGGGCATTGCCACCATGTAACTGGGCAGTGCACGCTGCCTGAAGTGTTTCAGGTGAGACACAATCCTGTTTGCTTGTTCTGATTCACTGCTACCCTACCTGGTATTTTGTGGAACTCCTGTAGAAAAGCTGCTTGCTGTGTGCTGGGGTGTTTCTGAACAATGAGGAACTCCATGTGCTCAGGCTTCTGTAACCTAAACTTTGCTGTGAGTGTATTAATTCTTAGGTTCTTTCACAAATTATGACTACTGAAGATTTTAGAAGCCATCATTTGGCCTTTGCATACCTGCACACATATGCAGAAAGTGTTTTTAATTGAACAGTATTTGTGATGCCACTTAAATGGTTTGCATCTGGATTTTCTAGGTGAGCGAAATCGAATGATTTTGATTTCTTGCCACAGTCAGCTCTTGTCATTGTCCACATCCAGAGACAAACTGTGAGACAACAGCTGTGGTTGTTTTTCTTTCAGCACTCAAGGACTATTTTATTGAAGTAGCAAGGAGCAAATTCAATTTCTATGGCTACAGGAGTTGTTAACTAAGAGCTGTGTAACTGTTTATGTGTACTACAGGTTCTGTGCACTACGTGAATGAGAAAGGAAAGACAAGCCACATATTGTCAGCTGACAACCTTGTACAGAAGCTTCTGTTCATGGAGAAAAAAGATGCATTGGTTGTAATAACGGAGAACCTGCTGTTGTCCTTGCATACAGTTACTCTCGAGGGAGATGCCAAGGAGCTCATGAAGGTGAGAGTCACACAACAAAGTAGAGCTGCAATATTTAATCTCCTCTTAGGATTTTTTAAAATTATTGTTTCCTTCACTCAGAAATGAATCAGCTTTTTTTCTCTGTTGATATCTTGGAGACCAAATATACGAGCACTTAAAGGTAAAACAGGAGTGTGCTACTGAACTTGGAGAGATGGGTTTTGTCTTGCTCTTGTGTTTTGTCTTAGTTTCTTTCATTGTGATCCTGTTAGGTTTTTTTACTCCTTGTCTTACTGAATTAAAAGGGGATACTCTTAAAATTGATACGTAATTTTGGTGCAATCAAATGTTTGTTAAAACATTTCATGGAGAAATAGTTACAGGTTATATGTCCTCATTTTCATCACCGTCAGTTGCTCGGTTGCCTATTTCATATTAGCAGGAGCAGTGCCTTCCTTGTTGTGATGCTCTTTTTCTGTAAGTCTGAAAGATGGCTTTGTTCACTTTGTGACAGTGTCCTTTGCAGCTGCAGAAGTCCCAGAAGACTTTAAACAAAAACTCCCCAAGTCATAGAATTACTTTTGTGTCACTACATTGTTATTTGTGTAGGGCTGAAAACCAAACTGACGTCTTCCAGTAGGTACAGCCACCTTGACCAACGTGCAGATAAAATGCTGTACTGTTGGGGCATACTGCTTTGAAGGTGAGGAAGGGCCTTCGTATTTGTTTTCTGGTTTTCTTCAAGTAAGATCAGAAAAGGGTGGGCACTTCTGTGTCACAGGAGTGTCAGCTTTTTATTAATTGGTGGATGCCCCATCCCTGCAGGCATTCAAGGCCAGGCTGGATGTGGCTCTGGGCAGCCTGGGCTGCTGGTTGGTGACCTGCACACAGCAGGGGGTTGGGACTGGATGAGCACTGTGCTCCTTTGCAACCATTCTATGATTTTGCAGTTAACACAATACTTACCAAATCCCAGGAGATGCAATGCAAGAAGAAACACTGTTCCTTACCTTCTTGCCTGACTGCAAAACTTCTTTTTGTGAATTTATACATCTGATACTTGATAAGTTTAAAGGTGGTCACTCCTTGGTCTGTATGAATCATCACACAGGTCAGGGTTTACGTTTGAACTCTGGAGTCGTACTGTACAATTCAGATGCTTAGACATTCAGAGTGTTGATTCTACCTTCTGTCACTTTTCTGTTTTCACTTTTGTTAACAGGTGAAGTTGAGTGGGAAAACTGGTAATTCTGCAGACATCTTTTTAATAGACCATAGCCTTATTGTTACAGCACTGGGTGAGACAGTACTCAGGTAAGAATCCTGTTTTTAAGCTGTTCTTGCTGCACATGAGAAATCTGACCAAGCGATTTCTAGTCTCTTGAGTTCTTTGGGTTGTGTGGGTGTTTGGTTTTCTTTACCTTATTGACATGAGAAAGCCACTTTGCTGTTCTTTCCATCTTTATTGTCCGATTCTTATGATAATTATGGCAATAACAGCAGGAAAAAGTGCTTATTTTCTAGGACTTCTCTTTTACTGCAATATAACACAAGTATTATAGTGATTTCTTTCCATAATTCATTGAACACTATGTTACTTTGCCATGCTGCTATGTTATAATGTTATGTAGTTTTAAAACTACTTTTTCTGGAGTCTTTTTAAAGTACGACATTGTTTTTTTTTTCCCTTCTGCTTTTACTGTGACTTACTGTACTTATTTCCTCTGAATCTGAGGGGTGAGGAGAGGAAGAAGGGAATTCCATTAACATCTGTGGTTCACTTGTTTGAGTCTCTGCCAGCTACTGTCAGGAAGAGTCTGTTAATGTTATGACAAAGTGATAAAGATCAAGTATTGAGCAAGAAGGAATTTGATAATGTTTAGTTCTAGAGAATATATCAGCAGTCCGAAGGGCTACAGGTTGAAATAGGGAATACTGGAGCCACAAAAGAGGGGGGAAATACTGCAGCTATGCCTCATTTTCTTGTTGTTTTCCTTAAAACTGGGTTTGCTTTTGACTCCTTTCACAAAACATCTTGCATCCTGAAAAGTCGAAGGCAAACAGGAGATTAAGAAGTTCTCATTCTGGAGGCAGCTGCTGGCAATTTCACTTTAAAAATTAAGTATGTATGTGTTATCAGTGATAGGCTGTAAGGTGCTGGAACAGGCTGCTCAGAGAGGTGGTGGATGCCCCATCCCTGAAGGTGCTCAAGACCTGTCTGGATGGGCCTTGGGCAGCCTGACCTACTGGCTGCATCAGGAGGGCTGGAACTAGATCACCTTTGAAATCTCTTCCAATGTAGTTCATTCTGTGATTAAGGCAATAGCAGATTAGTGCCTTGTACAAGTCATCCTGACAGTTCAGCAAGATAGCTGGAAAGAAAAGCATTGTTAACTCTTGTTTTGTGTACCTTTAGGTTCTGGGATTTGGACCGAGGTGAGAACTATGTGCTCTCCCCCGATGCGCAATTTGGCTTTGAGGCTGGGGAGTGCATGAACTGTGTTTCTTACTGCAGTGCTAAAGGTGAGGAATAATAGGGCAGCTGTGATCTTTGATTCCAAACCTTTTTCAAATTGTCAGCCTTCAGTGCTCTGTAGCCATTTCAGTAGATTCTTCTTACAGGGCGTTTCAGCAGTAGCATGTCTTGTAGAATTGGTTTGGTGTAGCCCTCCCAAAGGGGCAGTGAGATCATTCAGCACTTGGTGCATTTTTTTTCCCATTGAGATGTTGTTTCTGAGCACACTGGCTGGATTCCCTTTGAGACTGAAGCAGTGAATGTGTTCCTGGAGCACACCTACCGTGTTCCCATGTGCTATGGACAGTCAGCAAGCCTACATGAGAACTTCATGCAGAGCAGAACTTACCAAATGCATAGTGTGGATGCTGGGCCTTGCAATGGGTTTCTCTACGGAGTCACTCCTATCTGTTGCCTTGTTTGCTAATGTAGGCAGAGATTGGGCCTAGCAGAGTGGTTTTAATGGCGACTTGTCTATCTGTACTACAAAAGTAGTTATTTAAAATGAAATCAGTGTCTGATGTATTTAGAAGATAACTTCATCCGGTAGCTTAGAAAACAGCCATTGATTCTCAAAAAGAACTTTTTCCATTTTTTTTCCTGAAAGGTTCTCCAGTACAGGGTTAGAATGCTGATTTGCAGAGGGCAAAGAAACAAACTGTGCTAGAATAAGGCTTCCCAGTGCCTCAGAAGCAGAACTAGGCTGCCTACTGCTTTGTGTCCTGTTTGTTTTTCTGAAGCTTGATAAGATAAAAATAAGATAAGAAGTGTCTGAAATGTCTGTGAATGGCAGGTCTCCTAGCAGCTGGTACTAACAAAGGGAGAGTGGCAATGTGGAGGAACATGTCAGTATCCAGTCAGAGCACAGGGGCTTTGGAGGGCAAGGAGAAGTGGAAGCTCCATGCATCTACAGAACTTGAAGGAAATATCACTCAGATAAAGGTAAGGAAAGAAAGAGCATTCCTGCATTTTATTAAGGCTTCAGAAACATCAGCTGAGTATGCCATGTTTGTGAAATAGACAACTGTGACTGCTAATCTACAGATGCACACACTGCCAAAGGGACCAGTCAGCTTCCTGAAGGAGGAAAGCCCTTGAATTTCAAAATTGAAATGAGCTGCAGTATTAACTGCTTGTAGCTGTTGTGTTACAGACAGGGATGAAATGCCCAGCAATATGCACCAAAATGCAAATACCTGGATTGCTCCTATTTGTTTCCATCCACAACAGAAACAAAGAGCACTGTAATACTTTTTGATAGAGTGAATTCTCAACCACAAAGCACTGTTTTTCAGTGTAGTCACCACCATTAACTTTGCACTTTTGCCAGCGATGAACAAGAGCTGCATGCTGTGCTACCAGAAATCTGCACCCATGGAGGCGCCTCACTGTCACCACTGCTGAAATGCATCACCCACCACCTCGCCATGCTCACATCCACTGTTTGGTCTCCTTAAATGTTCAGCAAGTGTCAAATGTCAGCGGTTGTCATTTTTTCCCTCATGAAGTTCAATGGCACATTTGCTTCGTATGTACTTCCATGTCAGACATCATCTTGTCACACTCTGCTGCCATCCATCACATGGCAGCAAAATGTAATGGAATATGGGTGGAAAGGTTCAATCTCTACTGCCATCCCTACCTCTGACATCTTGGGCCAATACAATCAAATAGGAGGCATTACTTTTGGAGCAGCCCTTGTAGATCTCTCTGCCCGGGAGAAGTGGGAGTCGCAGCATCCTTAAATCCAAACATCTCTCCTTCATATTTCTCACTGATTAACTCTTTGGATTCAACACGCTGAAATTATTTTCTGGAGAAGACGGACTGGCAGAAATGTCACCTTTGATAGAAGTGTAGAATATCCCGAGGTGGAGGGGACTGCAGGGATCCTCGATCCGACCGCTGGCACAGCAGCACCCAGAGCTCAGCTCTGCGTCTGAGAGCAGTGTGGGGCTGTGCCCACTGCTCTGGAGAGCCTGTTCCATGCCGTCTGTTGGCACCACCCTCTGCTGAAAAACCTCTTCCTAATATCTGAAGTTTATTTAAATGTATTAACATAGCAAGCAAAAAAAATCTAATTTAAATTATTTTCTAGATAGGGCATTTTTTTTATTTTTTTGTCACTGTCTCAGTGTGAAGTTTGCTTTCACTGGCAGCTAAATAACAAATACATATTTCCATGTGAATATTTTCCATGTGAAAAGAGGTGCTCCCCAGAAGGACACACTATACTTTTACGTATAAAATGATGTTCTGTCTGCTTTTGTCAGAAAATGTTGGTTAGTTTTACGACAAATGAACAAAACAGCAACCAACCACAAAACACAAAAACCAACTACTGACACAGGAGCCTCCTCCCCTGACCCCCAGCCTTTGTGTGCCCTGCCCAGCCACGAAGGCAGCTTCTGTTTCAAACCTGTGATGATAACTTGCTCATCAGGGAGTGTTATCAATAGAGTTGGAGTTCAGACAGAGCACCACTGTCCTGCACTGTGCATGTGGTTATAGGTTCCAGACTGTAAACATTCAGACCATCTCTCACTAACATCTTAAGGAAGAAGAGCTCTTGGATGGTCAGCTGGTTGCCCCAGTGCTTTCTGAAAGGAATTGTCCTGTGGTAGGAATAAACATGATCAGTGTCAGATGCTTTTGCTTAGCTGTGAATATGGAAAGACAATTGAAAAAAGGTGCATTATTTCCTCCTTCGTACAGAAATAATTAATCAGCTGCATGTTAAAGTCTGTCCTTGCAGGCCATCTCAGAAGCACATCTTATTGTTCTGTGAATTTTTGAAGTGTAACTTCAATTTTGGGATTGCTCTGCTCTGTACGAGCGCTCTTTTTCAATTCTAAAATAGGATGGGAAAGATGCATCTTCATAACACTCACTTAAAAAGTTAGCTGGAATACTTCCTCCTTTTCCTTGAAGAATCCCTGTGTTTTTTGGATCACTTAGTTGTGACATAGCACTGTTTGTTGAGGAATGTGAACTGCTCTCACTGAGAGGGCTATCAAAACTGCAGGAAAGAAAGAGGTAATCAAATAAGATACTGCAAGTGCAACAAATCAAAGTGTTATTAACCCCTTCAAGTGTGATCCTCTCAAATATAAGGTGGTATAATAATATCTTAAGAAGAAAAATGATTTTAATACAAAAACCAGTTCCTTTACTTAAACTGAGTCTGAGCAGCTGGGTAACAAGTGTAATATTTTCATCTCATAATTCCTAGTTGTTGGCTGTAGTTGGACTTTGTGCCATGTATGTGTGCTTGAGCTTACGTACATATAGACACAAAGTGTTTATTCCATCGCAGCCCTTCTCATCTCTCCTGGGATGCTGTTGTGACTGTTGAGGTCTCAGATGCAATTACTCACTGTGCTTTCTTTTCTTGCTTCTGCACGCAGTGGGGCTCCCGAAAAAACCTCCTGGCAGTGAACAGCATCAGCTCTGTGGTCATCCTCAGTGAGCAGGCCATGTCGTGTCACTATAATCAGCAAGTGGCTGCTGTGCAGGTGTCTCCCAGCCTGTTTAATGTGACCTTCTTCAGCACGGGAGCCACACACAATCTTCATGTTGATATGACTGTGAACGGAGTCTTCGCTACCAAGGTCACGTTTTTGGATATTTGCTCAACTGTTTGCCTAGCTAGGAGTTTAGAGACCAGACTTTCCAAGTCCTTAATATAATTCTTTGCTATTCCATTTGTATAACAGAAGTACTCTCGTGGCTCATAGCCATCATATTGTGCTGGTTTTCATGTCGTGCACTGACTTGGGAGTTCTCTGGATACTGACTTCAGTTTTTTTCAGTTGCAAATCCTTCCAGCCTAATATACAGAGCAACCAGTAAAAGGTGGCAATTGTGTGGAAAATCTCAGTGTTTCTGCATGAATTACTGCATGAGTCAAGATGACACTGAGTGCATTTTTAAAATTTTTTTTAGGATGCTGTAGTGCTCTGGAATGGGAAGCAAGTTACTGTCTTTGAGTGCTCAGAAGATACCTTAAGAAATGCAGGTAGGATCTGGAAGACAGCAATGAGCTAATTGTTCAGAGTTGAAGTGTTTGTGTTCCTGAATCATTGAACCATAGAATCATAGAATCACTCGGGTTGGAAAAGACCTTAAAGATCATCGAGTCCAACCACAAGCCAACCACACACCCTAACTCTCAGAACTCACCCCTAAATCACGTCCTAAATAATGAGCACCACATCCAAATGGATTTTAAACTCATCCAGGGATGGTGACTCAACCACCTCCCTGGCAGCCCATTCCAGTGCTAACCACCCTTTCTGTAAAGTTGTTTCTGATATCCAACCTAAACCTCCCCAGTGCAACTTGAGGCCATTTCCCCTCATCCTGTCACCAGTGAGAAGAGACCAACCCCGCTCTGCTGTTACCACCTTTCAGGTATTGGGAGAGAGCAGCAAGGTCCCCCCTCAGCCTCCTCTTCCCCAGACCAAACAGCCCCAGTTCCTTCAGTCTCTCCTCACGGGGCAATTCTCCAAGCCCTTCCCAGCCTCGTTGCCCTTCTTTGGACCAAAATGAATGTGAAGTTACATTCTCTTCATTCATATCAACTGTCATGTTATAATAACATTTTTCACTTTGCACTTACGAATGTTAATTAGACTTCATATCCCCACGCTGTAGAACAGAAAGGTTATATTATAAAACTATGGGTCAGTAATTATACAAGTTATCAGCAGAACCAGAACTCAAATACCAGCTCCTAGATCTCTGCTTTATTCACTAAATGTGCTGGGATATACCATGCTAATTGACCTCAGAATATGCTGGTATTCCTGTATGATTTACAAATAAGGTCTTTGATTAAAATGCCTTGGCCTGCTCATGCCTCCAAGTTCTTCTCAGAGCTGCTTTCAACCCATTCTCTGCCCAGTCTGTTTTTGTGCTTGGGATTGCCCTGACCCAGATGCAGGACCTTGCACTTGGCCTTGTTGAACTCCGTGATGTTTGCACATGCCCACCTCTAACGCTTGCCCAGGTCCCTCTGGATGCATCCCTTCCCTGCTGTGTGTGAGTGCACCACACAGCCTGGTGTCATCTGCAAGTCATGTTTGCACAGCACTTGCACAGGAATGGGGAAGGAGTGGGTTCTAGTGTCAGCTGTCAGGAAAAGCTGTTTCAGACATTGCTGAATGTACAGCTGGCTAAGGTAAATTAGTTTGTTCTGTGATGAATTCTTCCTGCATATTCATTCATTGAGAAACAGGATATGCAAAATTTCATTAATCCTACCCAAAGTCTTGAGGGACAGTTCAGGCTTTGTATTTTAATAACCAAGTTCCCAGCAATGAAACTATTTTAAAACCACTCTTTTCTGACAGATGTTCCTCTATTCAGTGAAGGAACGTGTGAATTCCCATGATGGAACTTCATACTGCACTACTTGTTTTCTTTGTCATCACCCATTTCAGCACCTTCCCCATCCTCTCCCGCTTGTTTTTATGTGCAGAATGTACAAAAGCCTGTTCACAGAAGGAGTCCCAGCTTTCACTGTAGTGACAGACTGGAGGAAGACCAGAATACCAAGGAGTTTGGGAACCAGTAGGAGTCAGGGGTTGTAAAATGCAGTTGGTGCAAGATGGGAGCAGTCATTTCAAGTCTTTTTAAAACACCAAAACACACACAGAAGTCCCAGCCATCTGCTTATTGTGATGATGGTTTTATTGTGATTGTTCCAGGCTCTTTTCTTTGTGACTCTCCAGTTCTGTCAGTGCATGGAGAAAATCTGTACACAGTTGAGCCGTATCGGGTCCAAGTTCGTACCTGGCAGGTAAGAGCTGATGAAAACTCAGAGCAAGGAATTCGTCTCACTGTTTTTCAGAGACTGATGTTGCAGTTTAAAAGATAAAAGGAAGTTGTGCAAACCTGCTGACTGTACTCTTGTCACAGGAAAAACCTGTTGAGCTCTTTTACAATTTGAGTTCTTTAGTGTGTCACATTTAACAGCTACTACACTTCAGCTAACAGTAACAAGTATTTATAATAGAAAACAGAATTCTTTAAGGACCAGACTGCTTATGAGGATCTAAATTGGTAGCATACAAATACATATTACTAATAGAAAATAGTGCATTTTGAGAGGATGAAAATATCCCCTGCGTATTGTGTGTTCACTATGGAGTGTCACTTAAAGCTTGTGGCTTATCCTTGTCAACCATAACCAAAGGGAGAGATAAAATCTTTATAGTTCTGATGTATGATTTTATTTAATATTCAAGAAAAGGTAGGTTTTGTCAGATTAAGGAATGATTCCATTCTTATGTATGCATTATTTGTTTTTCCAACTTCATATTAATGAACTGTATTCAGAGAGCTGTATTCATGCATCCTTCTTTAATGAAAAAAGGTGTGTTATCAAAGGGCCAACACAAGAAAAATTTGAACTCTTTTGGAGACCACACATCTCGTTTTCAACCTGATGCAGACTGTGAGACCTTTTGAAGTCTGTGTAAAGAGCAGTTTCTTTCATTTTGCTGATGGTGATTTGTCTAATACAGAGATTCATTGGCTGGCTTAGAGACAAAATAAATCCCTCCTAGTTAAACCCAAATGTCCAAACCTAGTGTTATTCTTTTCTTCTCAGGGAACAGTTAAACAGCTTCTGGTGTTTTCTGAAGCAGAGGGGAATCCGTGCCTCTTGGATGTCTGTGGAAACTTCCTGGCTGTGGGAACTGATTTGGCTCACTTTAAAATCTTCGATCTCTCTCGCAGGTACTAACAAGCCTTAAAAACAATCTGCTCATTTTGTGTGTGAGGGGTGGGAAATCTTTAGCTGGCTTAGATCCTTTGAAAAGCAGTAACCTCTTTGAACCTCAAGACAATACATGCAATCTGTATGAACTGATGGCATTTCTGAAGCAAGGGAAGAGCAGAATCATAGAATGATTGGGTAAGTCACAGAACAAAGAATGTAGGAACTTAAAGAGGATGGAGAACTTATGGAAGACATGCAGCCTGGAGAAGAGAAGGCTGTGAGGTGACCTGAGAGCGGCCCATCAGTATCTGCAGGGCAGCTACAGGAAAGAAGGGGACAGACACTTCAGCAGGGTCTGTGGTGAGAGAACAAGGGGAAATGGTTTCAAGCTCAAAGAGGGGAGATTTAGGTTGGATAAAAGAAAAAGTGTTTCACAGTGAGGGTGGTGAGGCACGGGAACAGGCTGCTGGAGGCGTTCAAGGCCGGGCTGGATCAGGCCGTGGGCAACCTGGTTCAGCTGTGTGTCCCTGTGCATTGCAGGGAGTTGGACTGGATGGCCCTCAGGGGCCCCTTCCAGCTCTAAGGTTTCTATGGTTCTATGATCATTTCTGCTGACAGTCTCAGAAAAACTGACAAAAAGACTCAGCTTCTCATAAACCAACAAACTTGAATCCAGTGAATCCATGAAGAAAGTGAATTGTGGATGCTGTTCTTTCTCCTGATTAGGTTAAGTGAGAGGTTTATTTAATTTTGTTCAACTTATGCTGTGTTCCCATTCTGACAAACTGCTGTGGCACGTCAAAGATGTGCCTGACACAATGTTCAATTCAAAAAATGATTTCTAATGATGAAGTTTTTCCAAATTACCTGTAATAGCAAAATAATCTTTGTTCTCAGGTACTGTGACCAGAGAACTGCTAGACTGAAGTTGCCTACATACTGCATAGGACACAATTTGAAGGTGTTAGTTTTGGGCAGGCATTAGACTGGTTATGGTTGTTGATAGTGAAAGCTACTAGCTGAACTCATCTGTAGCCTGTTAAATTGTCGTGGCTAATAATGATAATACCCCTGACACCCCTTCTCAAATGATGACAGCATAGCATGCCTTAATTTTGAAGCTAAAACTGATGACTTAAAATAAATGAGAAGTCCAAACGTAACCCAAGAATGTCATTTTTACAGAATCAAAGATCTATTGTATGGAATCATATTATGGGTCTGAGTTACTGTCAATTCTTTCTGTTACATTCTTTAGATTGATGAGGTTTGTCTTCTTTGCTGAATAATTTCTGGGTTTGTATCTGTAGAAGTGATGAGATCCTTCAGAGATGGGACAGTCTTTTTGGACTTGTGCACAGTTGGAAAGCAACTGGTACGACATAAATGAACCCCCACTCCCAGTGATTTTTCTTTTCTTTTGTTCCAGAGTGTTTTTTCCATATGCTGAACTTCATTGAAAGGCTATATTCAACATTACAGTACTGTTCAACTTGCAGAGCAAAATGCAGGCCTCTGTATTTAAAACTCTGGTAGGATTGCTCTTTTTGGATTCCTGGAGAAGCATGGGAGCTTGTTCTTGCTAGCTCTTTGAGGAATGAGCCTTTCCTTCCTTAACTTCCAGAGGAAAGGCAGGTCACAGCAGGAGAAGCAAGAGTCTGGGGCCATGGTCCTGGGAGGTAGAAATAACTTGTTGGTGTTGTTGATAAGGTTTTTTATTTTTTAACTTGAAAAATGTTTTGGCCAACAGCTGTTGTCACATGCTTGCCACTGTATGACTTGAGTCTGTTCCATTTCACAGAGAGGCAAAAGTGCACTGCAATAGCAAGAATTTCTCTGAGCTGTTTCCTGGGCTTGGGAACATTGCATCTGTCAAGTGCAACGCTAACGGCAGTAAAGTCAGCATCCTTGTTAGCAAGGTGAGGCAAAACTTCATTTAGCACCCTGTGGCCTCAACACCAGTTAACAGACTGGTGTACAGGTCAAGATGGTTCCTAAAGATGCAAGATTAACTTCACAGAAATAAACCTTCAACTTCTGTGCACTGCACTGGGACTGCAAAGCACACAGCAAGCACGTAGCTGAATGCTTAAGTTAAGCTGTGTTAAGGTTTTGTACTTCTGAGAAGAGCACAGCAAGGAAAGCAGTAGTTCAGTACAAAAGCTGTTCTGTAGCATTTCAAAGAAATCCAAAGCAAACTTGCTAGAATAGAAGAACACCAGGTAATTTTCTGATACTCCTTGCAGAGAATGTTCTTGTATGATTACAAGTACACGAAACCATAGGAATATGGATCAGATGAGATAAACATACTATCCAAACTGTCAGCGTTTTTCTTTAACTGTGTGCTTCAGCAATATTTTTTGCCTTCTTGTAGGCAAATGGGAGTACTGATTCCAAGGTCTGTTTCTATGATGTTGAAATGGACAAAGTTACACTCTTTGATTTCAAAGCTGAACAAGGAATTGGTAGAGATAAGCTTTCTTCTGGGCATGGTACTGGCAGGTAAGTAACAATTCTGAGCATTATTACTTGAGACTTTAAGGTAATCTGCCCTGTGAAGATGAGCAATATCTTGATACTGGCGTTACTCTGTGTAGGAGTTTAGGCCATTTAAATTGTTTTCTCAAGAATCACAGATTTGTAGGGGTGGGAAGGGACCTCTGAAGATTACCAAATCCAACTCCCCTACTAAAGCAGGGTTCTTACGGTAGGTCACACAGGAAAGTATCCAGGTAGGTCTTGAATATCTCCAGTGAAGGGGACTCCACAGCCTTTCTTTGCCATTCGTTCCAGGGCTCAGTTGCTCTCATTGTAAAAAAGGGTGTTTGTATGGAACTTGTGTTCCAGTTTTTGTCCATTGCCACTTCTTCCATTGCTGCACACCACTGAAAAGGGTCTTGCCCACTGACTTGACTTCTGCACTTTAAATGTTTAGAAAGTAATGAGACCCCCCTAAGACTTCTCTTCTCCAGACTGAAGAGTCCCAGGTATCTCAGCCTTTCTTTGTGCAGAAGATGCTCCAGGCCCCTGATCATCTTTGTCACCCTCCACTGGATTCTCTAGGAGATCCCTGTCTTTTCTGGACTGAGCAATGTGGAACTGGACACAGTATTCCAGATGTGGCCTCATCCAGGTCTCGTTGGTGTGCAGCCACTCCTCCCAGCTTTGTATCATCAGCAAATGTTCTGAGGGTGGATTCTATCCCTTCATCCAAGCTGTTTATGTATATTGAACAGGACTGGACACAGCACCAACCCCTGGGGAGCACCACTAGTTACAGGCCTCCATCTATACTCTGTGCCACTGATCACAGCCCTGTGAGCTCTGCCAGTCCACCTATTTATCCACCCATCACTCCACTCATCTATCCCACATTTCCTATCCCACACTTCATTATAAGGGTGTTGTGGAGACTGTCACACACTTTGCTGAAGTCAAGGTATGCAAAATCCACCGCTCTCCCTTCTTCTACCCAGCCAGTGGGTACCAGATAGGTCAAGCATGATTTCCCCTTGGTGAAATCATGTCGTCTACTCCTGATAACCATCTTTTTTTCTAACTGCTTGGAGATGTCATCCAGAACAAGTTGCATCATCAGGGAAGAAGGTGAGGCTGACTGGCCTGTAATTTCCCAGATCCTCCTCCTTGCCCTTTTTGAAGACTGGAGTGACATTAGATATTCTCCAGTCTTCAGGCACCCCTCTCATTCTCTAAGACCTGTCAAAAGATGATAGAGACCAGTTTGGCACTCAGAAGTTTAGTTTGACTAAACTGGTGCATTAGCAGCCAATCAACCTGCATCCCTGGCTCTCCCGATCCATTAACTAAGGAGTACCAAAAAAAGCTGTGTAAAGCAAGCTTAAAATAAGGAGGAGAGGTGATGATTCTTCAGACAACATGCAGCTGAGTGAAAGGTGTTCCTTGCCAAAGGAAGCCCACAAAGGATCAGTTTGGGAAGCATCCCAGGGACGGACCTCATGCTGGAGCAGGGTAAGAGAGCAAGGAGGAAAGAGCAGCAGAAACGAAACAAAGCATTATGGACTGACTGCAAACCTTAGGGGAAGGAGGTAGAAGAGGGTGGATGAAGAAGGGAGGTATTTTTAGTTTGATTTTGCTTCCCTGCTCTAAGCTGCTATTAATAGGCAAAAAGCTGCGTTAATCTCCTTTCTGCTGAGCCTTTTATCAATAGTGGTAATAGGTGAATGATCTCCCTGGTTTTTTTTTCAATACATGAGCTTTTTCTGCATTTTCCCCCCCTAACCTTTAGAGAAGGAAGTAGAGAGTGGTACGGTGGAGCTGAGCTGCCTATCAGTGTGCAAACACCACAGCACGTTGGAAATCCTTGTAGCAATGAGAGCAAATGCAGTCAACTGGGCTTTCTAATACAGTGGAACATTAGAGTAGAAATTTCTATTTGTTTTTACAGTGATTTTTCATAATGAAGTTTTCTTAAGAAGTAACAGCCTTAGAATAGAAGGTGATTTAGTCCTTTTCAACAACTAGGTGTTATGGGCAAACCAAATTATGGTGTGGTTTTCAGTGCTGCAAAGTAGAGTGAACAACCTATTGCAAATCCTGTCAGTTAGGCAAATGTAATGAAAGTTGTTTTCAAGTGCAGTGTCTTGTGCAGCCCATAAGAGGCCACTACAAGCTGGTATTACAGCTTCACTGACTCGTGAGTAGCAGAGTCTGTGTGAGTGATTCATTTATCAGTGCTTCATTTAGAGCATCCTGAAATCAAAACTAGTAAACTCATCAGAGAATAATCTACGTTGGATGAACCTGCTTTGGCAGGAGGGTTGGACTCGATGATCTCTGGAGATCCCTTCCAACCCCTACAATTCTGTGATTCTGTGATTCTGTGATCTTGGAGGGCTTTTCCAACCTCAGTGACTCTATGATTCTGTGTGTCTCGTTTTTGATAGGTCTGTTGTGGAGTATCCAGAGCTGCACAATCACATCCCTGTTTGCCATTTCTGGGACTGCAGTGAACCGAGACTTTTTGTATGTGAAACAGCTCCTGAAACAGGTGTACGGCCCCCAGGTCAGAAGAACAGTCAGACTGAGAGCATGGTATGGTTGGTTTTGTTTCTCCTTGCTCTACGTGATGTTTTCCCTACCAAGCAGTAAATCATTGGTATTTTTTTAACCTGCAGAAGTAGTTGTGTGCATCATCGTGTAGAAAAATTGAAAGTCTTTATAGATCAGAAACAATGCAAGCAAAGAGCTTTCATCAGTTCAGCAACCATTCCCTGCTTAACCTGCTGACGTGCTTGCAGTAGCCCTTAAAAATTTGTCTGTAGAAGTGCCTTCCTAAATATTCCTTTAATTTAAAAAGTCCATGTTCAATTAGTGTTCTGATTTGTGCATAATTTTAGTCAATTCTTTTCCATTTAGAGATGGAAAGCTTTGTTTCTTTTGCTGGCTGAACTGGCTGTAAAAAGGATTCTGGGAAGGTCAACATAGAAAGTGATATTACGAAGAGTGGAATAGGGATGGCTCAAAGTGGCTTGCTGGGGTCTTCCAGCAAAAAAAAAAGAACACTTCAACCTAATATTCCTTGTGTAAAGAAGCAAAAATGTTTCCATGTAAAGTTGAAAAAGAAAAGGATGTGAAAGGAGTGTAACTGGATGTTTGGCCCCTATTCCATGGAAGTTTTTGCTGTTGTTACTGTTAAAGAAATGAGAAGTCTGATAAACTTCAGTTGGAAATAAATGCTTATATTTTGACTTGAAAAAGTCAGCCATTACACAGACTGTGTTTAAATGGTTGGTACATTCCCTGGGAACCCAAAGCAGTGAACTGCTGAAATTGGACCAGAAATAATGCTGTGTTTAAAAAATGCTGGAAAAGAGGGGATCTGACAGACCTGTGGAACATCAGCCTGTAGCCTGGGGCTTCTCTTTTTGTGACTGATGCAGTTAGTTCCTGAGATGCAGAGGTCGAGGGCCCTTTGCAGTAGGAACAGTCTGAAACGCAGAGTGAATCTTTGGCAGTTCGCTGCAGGGAGGAAGTGCGTGGCTCTGCTCTTTCCAGCAGGTGTGGGAGAATGGATGTCATTATTTTTGAGAGAAGGTTTTGCCAACCGAGAATGGAAAATAAAAACAAAACGAGAGGAGGATGTTGCATCATAAAAACAAAACAATTCTCGACTTTCTTTTCCAGGTGGATGTTTGGGTCGTATCATTCTTCAGTACTGAAGAACACGGCCTTTTGCTTCAGGACAGCTTCCCACTGCCTTCATCGTGTGAGGTTCTTCTGGGCATTGATGTACCACATTTTTACTTTGCAAAAAAGGTGAGGGCATCTTTCACAATTCCTTCCCCTCCCATAGGTTCCAAATTTTCATTCTGTAGGGTTCAAACGTAACCAAAAGCCTGCAATAAGTAGGGCAAATCCAGTGGCAGCTGTAGCAGTGACATGAAGTTAATATTCTTCCTGGGTGTTGTGAACTGGATGAGATGTACAGACACTGTAGTCACCAGGCATTGCAACTAAGGAGGTGCTCAAAAGCAGCAAAACCTCACTGTTATGTAGGCACCATTCTTTTGCATTTGAGGTGTGTGTCAGGCTTGCACATCCCATAACAGCAGACAGTTCCTGCTAACTTCAGCAGCAGCAGCCCGCTTCCTGTTGGCGTGGAGCTTACTTCCCACAGCACAGCAAAGAGTGAGAATGCTCATTCTGCACTGACACTGCATCCTTGCTGCAAACACTAGAATTGCATGCTGTAACATCTTGGAAACTTGACCGTGAAGACAAAATTGTCTGTACCTTAATGCCATGTGTACTGGAGAAAGTTAAGCCTGTTCTCTACAGATTGGTTTTCTGGTTAAGCTCTGACACGAGTATCTTAGTTAAGATCTGTGATTATAATGAAATCTCCTGCAGCCTTCTTGTAGAGGAACCTATTTTGTTTCTTCTGCCAAGGCATTTTAGGAACTTAATGTGACTTCTAATCCCATGATTTTCTTCTGAATAACAGACCACTGCGATTATGTGAACCGAACTTCAAATACTGAGTTAATTTAAACAAGGAGACTTTTATCTAGATATTTTTTTCACTTTAAATATATTTAGCTGTTAGAGCTGCTCTCTTACCTTCCCATCAGTTTGAAACATCCAAGATTTGCTGCATTTTCCACTCTGTTAACATAACACTTCCCTGATCATGACTTGTGCTATTTTACTTTGATACTGCTTCTCTTGTTTTTCTCTCTGCCCATCTGTGTGGATTATTGCTGCCATTAGTTAATTTTTTGGAGGGACTTTGTCTATAAATCTGTAAGTATCTGTTAACTGTAATATTCAGCTCTGCTTCATTATCTGCTTTTCTCTTGTTCGCATTTCCTTCCTTCAGTAGGGTTACATGCAGCTTTGTGACTAAATTGTTATGTAGTATACCTGGGGGTATTGATTGATGCTCGGCTGAACATGAGCCGACAGTGTGCCCAGGTGGCCAAGAAGGCCAATGGCATCCTGGCTTGCATCAGAAACAGCGTTGCAAGCAGGAGCAGAGAGGTGATTGTTCCCCTATATTCAGCACTCGTGAGGCCGCACCTCGAGTACTGTGTCCAGTTTTGGGCCCCTCACTGCAAGAAAGATATTGAGGCCCTGGAACGTGTTCAAAGGAGGGCAACAAAGCTGTGAGGGGTCTGGAACACAGGCCATATGAGGAGAGGCTGAAGGAGCTGGGAATGTTCAGCCTGGAGAAGAGGAGGCTCAGGGGAGACCTCATTGCTCTCTATAACTTCCTGAACGGAGGTTGTAGTGAGCTGGGGGTCGGCCTCTTCTCTCGTGTCATTAGTGATAGGACCAGAGGGAATGGCTTCAAGCTACGGCAGGGGAGATTCAGGCTGGACATGAGGAAGTATTACTTTTCAGAAAGGGTGGTCAGGCACTGGAATGGATGCCCAGGGAGGTGATGGAGTCACCGAGCCTGGGGGTGTTCAAGGAAAGGCTGGATGTTGTGTTGAGGGACGTGGTTTAGTGGGAGCTGTTGGTAATAGGTGAACGGTTGGACTGGATGAGCTTTGAGGTCTTTTCCAACCTTGGTGATTCTATGATTCTATGATTCTATGATTCTAGTAGTTCATTTTGGAGCCGTGTTTTACTACAGGGGTAGTGTGCTTTAAATACAACAAATCCAGTTGATGCAACAGCTGATGGTGATAGTCTGATAACGGTAGGACAAGGGGGAACGGTTTTAAACTGAGAGAGAGGCTTTAGGTTAGATATTAGGAGGAAATCCTTCACTCAAAGGGCAGTGAGGTGCTGGCAGTGCTGCCCAGAGCTGCGGGTGCCCATCCCTGGAGGCGCCAATGGCCACAGATGGGCCTTGGGGAGCTGAGCTTTGGGGCTCAGACCAGGGCAGGGTGGGGGGGTGGCAGGGCCCACCGCAGCCATGTGTGCTTTTGTGAAGAAGTCTGGCCTGACTGAGCTTCACTCCATCGTTTCTTCTTATTGTAGTATCTTTCCTGGTTCCAGAAATTCCCCAAACTGTAGTCAAACCAAAATGTGCTTTTGGTTTATCTTTCAGCAGCTGTTAGAATCTGCTGCCTCTTCTGGGTGGCATCCTAAAAACCCCTGAGCTGTCTATCCTGAATTGTTTCTGCCCCTAATAATTTTTAAAATAGTGCATTTAAAACACTACATTGCAATGGCTTCTGCAACTCTTAATGCTTTCCTCTACTATAAGGCTGCTATGGGGTATATGTGAAATTCGGTGTCATGACTGGGATGATTTTTTGCTATCGGGTTGTGAAAATGGCTGCCTTACACTCTAGACAGATAATATCATATTGGTGATTGACTTGATTCTTATTGTCTTACAAAGCCCCTCTGGGGTGGTTTTCAGTGACCAGTGAGGTTATTACCGAAGGTTTAGAGGCTCGAGAACTACGTATTGTATGGGGAACATCTTGAATCTGAGATTTAATATTTATAACCTTCACACGAAGGCAAGAATAAATGAACTTGGTCTCTATTGTTAGCTTCCAGAATAGCAGATTGATTTTTCAGAAGAAACAAACCCCGGAGAAGTTTGTCTGAAACTTTCAGAAATCTGCAGACTTGAACTAACAGCTAAGACTACGATAGCAGCTGTTAGAACCATGGCTGCCTCTTCTGGGTGGCATCCTGGAAGCCCCTGAGCTGCCTATCCTGAATTGTTGGTTGCTCATTCTGACTCACGGCACGCTAAGCTCGTCTGTGACATTTCATGCCCTGGGGTATTTTCTAGGCAGATCAGAAATATTGTGGCTATTGCCACGACTGGTCGTGGTTTTGTAGGAATAGAAATCTTGGCACTGCAGTGGAAATTTAACGTTCGGACACTGAAAGGAGTAAACTTCATCCTCCTTGATACCTAAATGACAATGTGCTCGTTTTAGCCAGGGGAAACCGGGAAAGGACAAGCGGAGTCAGGCTCAAAGGTCTTGCAGATGGCTTCCAGACGACCCATGAGAGATTTCGTTGGATTAGGAGACTGTGATAAGGCCACCCGGGATGCCATGCTGAACTTCAGCTTCTGTCTGACTGCTGGGGACATGGACGAGGCGTTCAAGTCCATCAAGCTGATAAAAAGGTACAGCGTGTATCTGTGTGCATTTCCTTACGAGTGGAGTATATTTTCAATGAAAGTTGACGGGACATTCTGATCCTCTTAATTTCACTTACTGCTTTTATTTCATTTTCCCTTTCATTCTCAGAAAGATGAAATCTTTATTTTACTGACTTTTAATGTAAACTCTGCTTATTCTTTGTCCACGAGGCACTGTGAACTGCAGATTTTGATCACTGACTGGGGGCAGATGAGTAACCTTCCCCTGTGCCTGGCACAAATTCTGCCTTATCACCAGAGGAGAGTGAACATTCATAATTTTATTTATACATCTAAAATACTCACAGTCATACCAAGTATTACAAATTTACTGACCACATAGCTGATTTTTAAATTTAAATGTACATTATTATAATACGGATATTGCAATATTAGAAGAAATAATATAATGTCTTTTAAATATTCAAATAGTTTAATTTTTAAAAATCCCTGCAATTAATCATAGCATGTTGCTTCTAGGAAAGGTAGAGCTTTTCCAGGAAGTAATGCAGGCGAGTGAATACAAATTTTAGTTGGTTTTTACAAACCTACTGTTAGAAGAAACTCGTTGTCAGCATGAAGGTATTCTGTGCTGATAGTCTAGAACAATAAATTGCTCTGGAGCATCAGTCTCTGCACAGGGTTGCTGACTATGAACATGATGCAGAGTAGCAGTTGGGGGTGAGTTTCTTATTGCATCGGAACTGAGTTTGAGAACAGAATTCAAGAGCCAGCTTGATGATCACGTTCTAAGTGTGGCAAACTATGGTGAAAATAATAGCAAAGAGGAGCAGTGTTTCGGCTGGGAGCAACACGACAGCGTCGTGCAGTCTGTGACATTCACAGCTCACATTCACAGCTCAGCCCTTCAGATCTGTCAGGAAGTGCTCAGAAGAGCCTCTGCTGACAACTCCTAAACGTCTGTCGTTGCGGCTGTGTCTGAAGTATTTTGGCATAACAGTTTTTGACCCGTTGTTTTTTCTTCCTGAAGGCTGCATGCATGCCTTGTGAGCCCTTGTGAGGCCAACAGGCATCGTGCCTAGCTCTGGAGGTACTAATTTTCCTTTCATTACCATATGAAGTTAACGGACAGATGCTTTATCTCATGGCAAAGTCTATGTTTGTCTTATTCTCCAGTTATGTGCTGCAGTAGCAGGTACTGTCTCCAGTATTCTATAAGGTGCCTCTGAGCATTGCTAGGCAGAGCTGGACGTCCTAACATAGCACTCTAATCTGGAAGTTACCTGGCAAAAGTTAAAGCAAGCCAGGAAGAAACTTATGTGGGCTGAAATATTGATTATTACTAATAATTTCCTGTGAAGTAGTATCAGTAGAATCAGTAGTATCTATGATTATGAGAGAATCCAGGTCACCGCCTTCTGTAGATCTGCCCACAGTGTAACACTGAAGGAGACTGTCAGCACCGTGTAAGGCCTGTTCTAGTGGCATGCCCTTTTCATTTTTAATGGCATCTATTTACACATAGGATAAACCCAAAGCTCTCTCTTAGGGTGAAGAAAGCAGTGTCTGGAGAAAATGCAGCTGAATTCTTCTGCATTCCTTTACCAATTAGAGCTATTAGAGTTGTAGTTCTTGCTTCGTGATGTGGCTTGAAAAGAGTAGGTGTTGCAGTTAATGAGAAGTTCCTTGAAATGGATGAATGGGATGGGGATGGAAGGCTAAAAAGCCATGAAATCTTAACAGCTGTTAAAAATCATCACTTACTCTACAGTGAGTTTTCTGCTTTCTCAGACTGCCTGTTAACTGCAAAGGAAAGCTGGTCATCACCGGTCTCCCAAAGCTTTCCATGTTATTAAGGGAGCAAGACAACTTTATCCAGGCAGTAAATGTTAGGTCGTCTCTCCTCTGTGGTCTCATCGAATCTCTCTGCTCTGGCTGACACACAGCTGTGATGCTGTCAGGATTCTGACAGCCCAATATTCTGCGCTGTACAGTAGAGGAAGAGGGCAATATAATATATATAAAATTATATGTTTTATACATATGTATATAGATGGAGCCCATCCAAATAATAATTGAGGGCCTCTGCCCACAAGAGTGAGCTTCGTGATGTCCTTCAACCCTTAGTTTTAAATTATAGCATCTATTTATATAAAACACCATCGCAGATCTCCTTGGAGACCTTTCCCCTTTCAAGTCCACGCTTTCAGCACGGCGACTCCACGTAGTCGTTCTCCAGGCCCCGGCGGAACCGAGCGGTCAGGGTGCGGCTGATGACGATGACCCGCGGCGCCATGCAGTCCTCGCGCCTATGGAGGATGTTCCATATGAGGATGGCAGCTGCCAGTGTGGCCAAAAGACAGGCTCCAATGTTCAGGTAGCAGGACCACGAGAGGTTGGTGTACGGCCCGATGCGGTAGAAGGTCACCAATCCAATGACCAGAACAAAACCTGCAAAGAGCGTGAGAATTGTTCGGTTACTCCTGAATTTCTGTAGTGGCCAGATGCTACAAGCTGGACATTTCTGAATCTGCAGAGCCTTTCCCTCGCTGTTCACTGCGCTGCGTGTGTTCTTTAACCCGCTCTTAAACACGATGGAATATGCAAAGCGAGGTGCCTGCAAAGCAGTGTTAACATTCAGCTTAAATCTGTTGACACCGGTCTAAATTTCTTACTCCTACTTTGTTGTATTTCATGTTTTATCCCTTTGTGTTGCAGAAATGATAAAATATATATTCTGCGTGCGTATGCATGAAAGCAAACAAAAGAAAAAGAAAGAGGTTGAAATCACTGGGTCCTACTTTTTTAATGTGCCTGCAGAAGCTGCCAGAAGCTTCTGTTCCTTTTCTAACAGTAAGCACAGTATTAAATTCCTTAAAAGGCAGTTAATACAGGAATAACAACAGTGCACTTATCTAGTATTTCCATCCACAGATGTCACAACGTCACTTGCAAAAACATGGGAGAAAGAAAAGATTTTCCTTTTTTTTTTTTGGGAGCACCACTGATAAAAGGTTGTCATATTGCAGATAAGGTGAGGTGACTTTTCTAGTCATGCAGGATGTGCGTGTTAGAACAGCCTGAATCCATGTTCCTCGACTCCCACTTTTTAGTGTTAATAAGAATGCCCTTTCCTTGAAGAACGCAGCAGTAAGCACAGGTAGTTTTCTGCTCCCTGTTCACTGTATTTGTTTTTCTATCCCTAGTCCCAAATAAAACTGCTTTTCAGCTTTCTGAGACAATTTAGATCGAAACAGGCAAATATATTTCTGACACAGGAAAAGGCTTTCTCTTAGATCTCATACCTTAACCACCGCCGTATCACAAGAAATTGCATTGACAAAGGGAGCCCTTCACAAAGGAAGATGAGAATAAAGGCCCATAAGCAGCCAGAAGGGTTTGCAGACACTGTCTCCTGAAGTGCATGGGCAAAGACAAGGGGGAGGAAGCCTTTCCTTAGGAAGCACTGGAGTCTGCGTGCTCTGTTTTCTCAATTAGCTGCACTTCCCACAGATACACCGCAGTGCTCCGAAATGGTCCCAGCCTGGCTCTGCACCTTGGCTTTTTTCAGAGCACAGCCTGAGTGTGCATTCTGTCAGGTGTTTCTTCTTTTAGAAAAATGCTAGCGATGCTAGAAATCAGTGAGCTGTGCAGTGACTGCTCATCAGCACTCAACGTGAGTCTGCAGGCTTCTGGATTCCTTGTTAAAATCTACACCAATTGGAAAAGAGGGCAGTTCTAACCATCGCTGAGTTGGAGAGGGGATGTTAGCACACAGGTCATCCAGCATGATTTGCTAAGTGCACCAGTTTGAAAGTTGCTTCTTGATTCCTGTTTGATGAAATACTGAGTGATGGCTGAGGTAGAAAACTTGTGAAACTTAACTGTCAAGCATAAATTGACAAGCTTGAATCTTGTTTTGATCGTAAGTGTTGGACGACATGCTGTACAGCAGATTATGCATGCTTTCTAAAAATCCTGGTTGTTTTGAAGCCAGGCTTGTCATCTACATCCTGGAATATGGGACAGAATGTTGAAGGTGTGTTGTTTGTCTTTGAAGGAGTCCACTTTGCCTTATGTTCATGTGCTTTGCTCACCTGAAAGGGGAAAAGCTCTTTCCTTGTGCAATCAAAACCCACTCTGAATTTTATGTTGGTTGGCCCTTCCAGAATGCCACTTTTGTCCCCAGAACTCCAGTTAATGGTGCTCTTCCTTTTCTGTGAAGTTTCCTTGATTGCTTTTGAATTCTAAGTCAAGATCTGCTTGTTTGCTGTTTTCTGGGTCCTGTATGAGTTTTGCCTTTATGGTTAGCAATAATAGCACATAAGATTCTGGCGTATCTGGGAAATTAGATAGTTTTGTCTCATTTCCAGAGTAATACATGTACTGCAGTTGTCTTGAGTTCAGTGTCTTGGTTCTGTAATGCCATGGTTTTGAGAGCAGCGTGCACCAGCTGTAATGTGCTTGTAGAGAATTTGTCTCTTCTCTGTTTGAGGTCTTTAGGTACTCATGCAACTGTTTTGCTCTTTACAGGTTGCCATCCACTTTTCAATGGCTGATAGATACCACTTTTCTCAGATACCACTTTTCTCATATAAAGACGGGAAGCTGAGAGAAAAGGAGGCTGGTCGTAATTCCTATGGCAAAAGTTGCAGGCCTGTTTCTTTTCGTTCTGGTTTAAAATTCTCAGAGGAAGGAGGGCACTGAGGTGCAAAGCAAGGGACCCATCTTACTGATGAGTCTGCCTGGAGCATCACCAAATTTTGTTACCACTTTTCTTCTTGAGTTCCTTTTAGAACTTTTTCCCAGTTCACGTTTTCACAGGGAATAAAAAAACCCACATTAAATAGTATAGAAAAAAAGGTGTGATGCAAACCATAAGACCTGTCAGATGCGCTGGCTGGATTTGAAATAGCTTAATTCATGTGCATTTCAATGATAGGGTTCAATTTATTACTCAGTGAGCAGGAACAAGCTTTGAAGCTAATCAGCAACCACTTACAGGTACCTCTGAGGGTCAGTTT